TATATATATATATATATATATATATATATATATATATATATATATATATCAAATCATCTTGTAAACCTTACTTTACAAGATGATGTGATTAAAGTAGGGACTAACACAGCATTGTGAATTGCCATATGCTTTTTTGACACATTCAGACTTTCTACAATAGAGTGTAGAACTCCATTTACTATATTTCCTGCGTTCACTAGTCATTCTATACCTTTATCATATCTATAATCCCTACTTAATATACATCCCAAATACACAAAATCATCTACTTGTTCAGCCGACTCCCCAATTTAAAAAAAAAATTACCCTTATTAATCTTCAGTCATACATAGAATGTTTGCGTATTTGTTTAAATAACACCATGCGTGATATTAGATCTATAAAAAACTTTACTTTTAATAGTAAGTAAAAGCCTACTTCAAAGAACTAAAAATAATGAAATCATTATTTTTAGTTCTTTGAATCGCATCCAGCGCAGTGCTGTTCGAATCGTCGGCGACCGAGCTCTTTCCGACCGGCTTGACTCACTGGCACTGCGAAGAGCTGTTGCATCTCTTTGCGTATTTTATCGCATCTACCACGGGGAGTGCTCTGAGGAATTGTTCGGACTTATACCAGCCGCACAATTACATAATCGCACATCGCTCGCGATACCACCCATACCATCTGGATGCTTGGCGGTCCACCACCGTGCGATTTCAAAAAAGTTTTCTTCCTCGCACAACTTCCTTGTGGAATCGACTACCACCAGAGATTTTTCTGGACCGATACGACTTGGGAACCTTGAAGAAAAAAGCCTACTCCTTTAATAAAAGGCTGGCAACGCATCTGCAATTCCTGTACAAATGTTCATGGGTGGCATTAATCGCTTACCATCAGGTGAGCCGTATGATCGTTTGCCCCGTCTTCTATAAGAAAAATCATTTCATATAATAAAAAAGAAGGTCACAATTCGATTGTATGTTGTTTTTTGTGTGTTTGTTACTTAATTGTGAACCGATGTTGATGATTCTTTTTTTATTAATTAGATTATGCTTTGGGAGTGGATCGATAAAAAATTTGGAGAAAAAGTCTACATAAGAGTGGCTAAATAGGTAATGTTTATTTCAATGGATCGCTCGACTGTAATTTTTTTTATGTGTAGTAATACAAAACAAAAAGCCTCAATCGAGTTGTGAGCCTCCCTTTTTCAAGTCGGCTAAAATCGACTGATATATGGGTTTAATTCTATCTAGATTCTAAAGAACTCTTGAGAATTCATCTAAAGTTCGTAGACATTGTAATGGTATCGTTCTTTTTATTTACATTTTATTATTCATACAAAATCAAATTTTAAATAAAATAGATCTTGATTTTGCCAAAGAATACAAACGCAACGTAATTTTCTTTGAAAAATTATTAGTAAGGGTGCTTCGATACTTGAAATGTTGATTGAAACTTAAGAACGTAAAGTTGAACGGAACAATGAGTACGGACTGGTAATAGCCGAAATAACTTCTCTTGCTAGCGTCTCATAATTTGACAGTTAAGGTAAGTCTGAAACTAAAATTTTGAAAAAGATATTTCTCGGCCATCTTACCATTCTTAATTAAATCGACTATGATGATTATCGTTAAAAGTATTTAATTTGACTACCTTTAAGAACAAAATTATTTAGTATTTTTTATTTAGTAAACAACAGCCTTAAAATATCGAAACAAAACACTTTACAAACAAAATAAAAACAAAACAACAATTTTTGAACAAAAACATTTATAATTATTTCTTATATTTACGTGAATATAAGAAATAATTAAAAAGAATATAAGTATATAAGAAACATTGAAAAAAAATTTTTACGTATTTAATTTATTTATGCTTTAAATGTGAATATGGGTGCTGTAAAGCACCCGAAACTTCGGTAATTAATTTAAAAAAAAACTTTTTTTATTTTGAGTTATGAAAAAAAAACTGGGGTCGTCAACCCGTCCGCCAAGTCTATTCCGAATGTCCCACCTATGAGGCAATATAAGAGAGACCTAGAGGCCTTTGTTCAGTAGTGGACTTTTGAGAGGCTGTGATGAATAAATGAATAATAAAAAATAATTTTTCGTACAATATTTGGTACTTCGAACCTTTATTTAACGAAAACTAAAGTTAGAAAATCTATTTTATAAAAGCTCACTAGATTGAAAAATGAATATTAATTTAAATCCTCATTTTTACAAAGAGGACAGATACATATAAATTATGTATTCTAATATTTACTATCTCGTCTAAATGTGTACATAGCTGTACATTGAGATAAACGGACAGAGCGAAATTTTAAGGGTTTTCTGTATAAAATGAAAACAATGTCAATAGAACCAGCATCCATCGACTTCACGCAGATCAGCGTTACATCTAGTAATGCATAGTTAATATACACTCGTATTATCATTTATAGACATTACAATCAATCGTATTATGTAAAAAAAAGAAAAAAAAATGAAAAGAAACAAAAAAAAACAAAGGCCACCCAAAGAAGCATTTTAGCATTGCACTTTTTTAATAATAATGGTACAATTATCAAAAAAATGTACCAGCATTTAACGAGAAAATGGTAAACTTTAACATTTTATCTTATTTATCCTTTTTTATATTTTTGTACACAATGAAATCGGAATAGTTACAAAAAACAGTTATATTTCGAACGAATTATATTCCAGCTTCCGCATCTTACTTTGCAAAGAGTAACAGACAGTGACGTCTGACTTCGTGAAAAATGCATTCTATAAAGATGTGAGACGCCATGCAAATAGGAACACATTGAAAAGTCTTTCGCACCAGCTCCAAGCCCCGCCACGTTATGCAATACGTTTTCTTTCCTAAACTTTACGAAATATACACAAGGATCACAAAGGTGTCTGTCTATTCTTAGGTTATGTCTAAAGTGGACCGAGTTCAATTTTTTTTATCTGTGCAGTTTATATTAAACATGTGGATGAAAAATTATATTCCTTTTTTTTAACTCTTAACATTGTTTCATACCACGGGGAGCAGGACTTTTTGACAATTTAAATCTTTAGTGTTAGTTTTTCTATATTATAGTTTCTTTTTATATTGTGTATAATTAGTATTAATTGTAAATATTTTTATTTTAATTATTATTTTTATTTAATGTTATGTATATAATAATTGCTGTAATTTACTCTACTTGAAATTAAAAAAATTATATTCTATATTATGTAATATTTGTAAATTTTCTTCCTCGTACAAATTCTTTGTGGTATCTGCTACCATCAGAAATTTTTAACGACCGATACGATTTAGAAACCTTCAAGAATAGAGCAACTTCTTCTTTGAAAGGCCGATAGTGAACCTGCAATTCCCCTGTTTTTGCAGTTGTTCATGGGTGGCGGTAATCACTTACCATCAGGTGACATGTTATTTTGCCCCCCCCCCCAACCCCTCTTAATAAGAAAAAATTTCTTTTGCGTGGAATTTCTTTAAATGCTATGGAAAGTTTTAATTAAGCATCTATACACATGCTTCTATCAAATACGAGTATTATGCTAAAGTATTTGCACGTACACACGTTTCAGTTACAATATGTTTAGTATTTCTTTGTTTCGATAACATTTGTTTCTAAAGTTAGTGTTTATAAAACTACGTTTTTGTGCGTGACTCAATCCCGCAAGTTGCCCTTCCCGGTCTGTGGACACCCGAAACACTAAATGGGACACGCAATTCCAATACATAAAACTTTACATATTTATATATGTACATAATATACTAAGTAGGAAAAAGTTACTAAAATAAAACATTTATAAAATACAATCTCATAAACACTTTAACAACTCAACGTCTCCCAGAACGGCCAAAGAACTATTCTTTGCAGTGTAAGTGCAAAGCGACCTTTGTTTAATAAGCCTTCGATCTGTATCAAGTTACGGAAATATCTCCTTTATCCCACGTAAATACATACAATTTATTAGTGAAATATATTTTTCGATCAGCTTACACTCAATCTCGACAGACAGTGAATATAAGTTTGGCTGATATGATATTATAAATTTATAAATAAATATTTTTATCAATCAATGGGCGGCAGCATCTTTTTGATAGCAATATAAAATCATCATCATCATCATTACAGCCCTTCACAAGTCCACTGGTGAACATAGGCCTTCCCCAAGTAACGCCACAAAGCACGGTCCTGAGCCACCTGCATCCATCGACTCCTGCATGTCTTACCAGGTCGTCACTCCATCTAGTGGGGGGGTCGCCCTACACTACGCCTACCGGTACGAGGCTGCCACTCGAGAACCTTTCTTCCCCATCGGTTATCGGTTCTTCGAGCTATATGGCCGGGCCATTGCCGCTTCAGCTTACTAATCCGTTGGGCTATGTCGGTCACTCTGGTTTTACTACGGATATCCTCATTTCTGAGTCTATCACGCACAGAAACTCCGAGCATAGCCCTCTCCATAGCTCGCTGAGCGACCTTGAGCGTCTTCATACGGCCAGCACTGAAGCCAATATAAAATAATTACAACTAATTAATGGCAGCTCTGGCAAATATTTCCTTATGAATCAATCTATGAGAGAGAACTATTTTCAGCAGTGGAATTATGATAAGCTTACAGCTTTTGAGTGAAAGAATAGATTCCAAGTAATCGCGATTGGAAACTGCCGCCCATGTACCATTAATTCATCCTAAAATAAAAATTCAAATTTAAATACATTGATACCCCAAAGGACTTAGATGGGATGCCTCAAAACCAGTAAAAGTGATCTCCGGTTCTTGTCACAGGCTCCTTGGAAAATTTTATTAGACAATATTAAACAATTTATTAGGCTGGTATTCTTTGCTAGCGTGACCCTTACCTTGTTAAGCGGACTGATTCGCGTTTCGTGCCGCAGCTATAACATGCTGCAGCGCGGCTCTACTATGTAACAAAATATTTATTCTAATTTCTGTTGTTACAGATCATGTTCGAGAATTTTCTTGCGGTCCACTCTACTACAGAACTTTTTTTATGGATTCCAAACGCGATGCTCTTTATGTTGGCGCTATGTAAGTACTTTTTATTATTTAAGAACACTACGAATAAATATTTTGAGTAATTCGATGTAAATCTATCCAATAATGCGGGACCCAAAAACCATCAGGAAAACCAACTTACAGTCTTCCTGAGGGTAAGTGCTGACTGTAGTCCAAAAACACCTGCAGCAAACTTCAAACAAAGAAGTTGAGAAAGGTTTAAACAAAGAAGTTAAAGGAAGAGATAGCAGGCCTTACATCGTGTACATCTAGTAGTAGTCTGTCTCTATACCCTTCAGATCGAACGCAGCAGTACAAGCACTACTATTTGCAGACAGAAAAACGTAAGAGTGTGGTTCCTTACCCAAACTTCTAGCAGAAATTCCTAGCAAGTACATTACAACATTAATGATGGTTCTGCCTTCACAAATTTGTCTATCCAGCGCGCTGAATATTGGCCGTACCAGCTAGCAACCGAATGCATTCTTGAATAGGCCTATGTTTATGTGTATAAAAGAGCTTTAGAATTTAAAATATATTTCGAATCTAATCTATATAATATATATACGCGAAATACCACTGGCTGACTGACTCTAACTCATCACGAGATCTCTAAAACTATACACCAGATTGACTTGAAATTTAGTATAGTTACTCATTTCGCAATGTAGACGCTCATTAAGAACGAGCTTTACGATAGTCCCATCAAAAAAATTTAATAGGTTCCGCAATAAAATATTATCATATACGCCCAGCGAACCGAGCGGGTAACAGCTAATCTAATATAAAAGTTAAGCAATAAAAAATTACACAACAATAATTTTGATTTTATTAGTAATATTTTATCCCATGAATAACTTTTCATCTGAAGATTGAAAAATCGACTCTTATTCGTTAAATACTTTTAATAGAATGCTTTCACATTATTTACAAATAAAACTATATCTTGATTAAGAACATTATTACTTTTTCATAGAAAAAATTTAACAAAATTAACTTTGTTTTCTATTAAATTCAAAGAGTAATATCGTAATATCTATTGAATCACCAACAATACGCTATATTAAACAATAACGTTATTGCCTTATTTTGAGCAATAAAACGATCTAGCATAAACATTTCATTACAATTTCCACGCGACATTGTTACACGCCCATACTTACATCATAAACTAAAGTTCTCAGTAAATTGGTCTATCTTTTTATAGTTCATTACCGTACCAAATATTCCAGTTTTACGACTTATAATTTACCGTATTATTTTCTTTCAGGGACCGACTGTTTCGGCTCAACATGAATAATATTAGTGCATCTCATTGTGATGTAAGTATTTTTAATTTGGTAATTTTTTGAATGTTTTCTGATAGTATCACAATAAAAATTTACATCACTCGCCGCCCTCTTGTGAGCTACATTCTATTAAAACAAATAAATTCCTGTAAATTCGAGTGGTCTTCGGGAGATAGCGGCTTGAAAATCTCGTTTATCTCTAGCCTAACCTGATATACCTAGACTAGCAACGTGAAAGCGATTATCCTAAGAACCCAAACGTCTGATACGATCTCCAATTCTACTGCCAAGCCTGACGATTCAATATACATCCTATCCATTTCGAAAAAGGAAGCCCATGTTCACCTGTGTTGAGATTTTATTGTTTGTATTTTTTTACGTAAATTTTTTTAAACAAAATGTTCCAGTTATTTAATAAACGTTCGTTTTTTTTACAGAGGGATTCTATTAACTTAGAACCTAGTAACGTCGCTCAATGTGTGTCAAAAGGAAAGTCTGAGGTGAGTTAACAGTGCACTTTCAAAATCAATTTTATTTTATTGCTTGATTTTATCTATAAAAAATGTAAGCGTGTATTTTGTTAATTGTATTTTAATAATTTTGTTAATTTCCGTATAGTGGCAGTTGAGAATATCCACTACCCCATATCTTCCCGTGGGTGTCGTAAGAGGCGACAGAGGGAGACAGGCAAGAGATGGGCAGCAGCATCTTCCTGATAACAACAGTGATATAATAAAAAACTGCGGTTGCCAACCCGCTCGCCAAACGTGGCAACTATGGCAAATATCCCCCATGAATAACGACGCAAACAAACGGCCCCCAGTCCCCGGCAGCCCCGCTATTCCTGGCTACGGTGGCGACCATGGTAAAGGGGGTGCTAAGAATCTCCGGTGGAGGTTCGGTTACCACCTACGACGACTCGACCTAGCAACATATAATGCACGCACCCTGAGGACTGACGAGAAGATACTGGAGCTGGAAGAAGAGGTAGACAAGTTGCGCTGGCATATTATTGGATTATCCGAGGTCCGAAGAGAGGGAGGGACACGGTAACCCTCGAGTCCGGCAACTTGTACTATCACAATGAGGGCGACCATCTGCCCCAAGGAAGTGTCGGATTTATCGTCCACAAGTCTCTCGCCAACAACGTTGTAAAGATTGGGAGTGTGTCGACGATGGTCACGTACCTAATACTCAGAATCACCAAACGGTATTCGCTGAAGGTCACACAGGTTTACGCACCAACCTCGGCACATCCCGATGAGGAGGTGGAGGAAATCTATGAGGATATTTCCAGAGCCATGCATTCCTCCAAAACCCACTACACGGTGTTGATGGGAGACTTCAACGCAAAACTAGGCACAAGAGAAAGCGGTGAGCTGAAGTTAGGGAAATTTGGAGTAGGACAACGGAACTGTAGGGGCCAGCAGCTGGCCTTACTTTATGGAGAAAGAGGAACTTTTTATGACGAACTCTTTCTTCCAGAAGCGGCCCCACAGGAAGTGGACTTGGTCGAGCCCCGACGGTTCGACAAAAAATGAGATTGACTTCATTATGACGACCAGACGTCAACTGTTCAGTGATGTCTCAGTGATCGCAAGGGTGAAAACTGGCAGCGATCACCGAATGGTTAGAGGCACACTGAACCTAAACGTTAAGTTGGAGAGGTCTCGTCTAATGAAGTCAACGCTCCGTCCCCCTCATGCTCTAATCCAGAATCCCGAAACCTTTCAGCTCGAGTTACGTAACCCCTTTCAGTGCCTAGAAGATTGCAATGCAGTAGACGATATGAATGACAAGCTCGTGGAAACTGTCCATGCGGTCGGAGCTAAGTTCTGCAAGATCCGCCGCAGAAGAACACAAAAACTCTCCGATCACACTCTGCAATCATCAACAGATTTGACAGCATACAGGCAACTGAACAGACAGATCTCCAAATGCATGCGGTGAGACTTACGCAAATTTAATACTGCTCGTATTAAAGAAGCGATTGAGCGGAACCAGGGCTCCAAAGTCTTTGCCAGAGATCTGTCTGCCAGAAAGAGCCAACTGTCAAAGCTGAAGACTGAGTGTGGCAGCACCGTTTCCGGGACACCTGAGATTTTGAGTGAGATTGATAGGTTCTATGGGCAGCTGTACACATCGTCGTTAGAGCCACACGCAAGTGTGAGTAATGATCCAAGAGCAAGTCTTATCCGACACTATTGCGATGATATCCCAGACGTCAGTCTGATCGAGATTAGAATGGATCTCCAGCCCTTAAAAACGGTAGGGCCCCAGGCGAGGATGGAATTACAGCGCAGCTTCTGAAAGCGGGTGGAAAACCAGTACTTGAAGTCCTGCAGAGGCTCCTTAATTCCGTCCTCCATGGTGGCACTACTCCGGAGGCGTGGAGTAGAAGTACGGTGGTCTTGTTCTTCAAGAAAGGTGTACACTCTCTTGAAGAACTACAGACCGATTTCCCTTCTGAGCCGCGTCTACGTGCTGTTTTCGAAAGTCATTACGAATCGTCTCGCACGCAGACTCGACGACTTCTAGCCTTCCGAACAAGCCGGTTTCCGAAAAGGCTTCACTACCATAGACCACATACATACCTTGCGGCAGATTGTACAGAAGACCGAATCTGCCACTTTGCCTGGCATATGTGGACTATGAGAAATCCTTTTATTCCCTCGAAATTTGGGTGGTGCTACAGTCCCTTCAGCGGTGCCAAGTTGACTGTCGGTATGTCGAAGTGCTGAAGTGATTGTACAGTAGGGCTACAATGGCTATACAAGTACAGAACCAGAGTTCGAAACCTATCCAACTGCAGAGAGGTGTAAGACAGGGTGACGATATATCCCCGAAACTCTTCACCGCTGCGTTGGAAGATGTTTTCAATCTACTGGACTGGAAAGGATACGGTATTAACATCAATGGCGAGTACATCACTCACCTTCAATTTTCCGACGATATAGTCCTTATGGCAGAGTCGCTGGAGGACCTTAGCACTATGCTCAATGACCTCAATGGTGTCTCCCAACAGATAGGTCTTAAGATGAACATAAGGGGAAATATAATCTCAAATGGCTTATCAAGATCCTGTTATGCCGAAAATATTGCAGATTTTTAAATATGGAAAAGTTGAGGATTAATATTAAGGATCTTGTTAACGAAAACACGATTTCTTTAAATTTTCTCGATAGAAAAAAAATCCAAAGTTACCTTCAAAATAAACAATAAACCGCTGTTATTCATAAAATACTTTAAATAAGATCATTAAACTTTGCATACTAACTAAACTAACTATAAAGCAGTGCTTATGTTATTTTTTTTTCTAAAATACCATTATTTTCACTGTAAAAAGTAATTACCTAAACTATCGGCCTCTTGAAGCGTGATTCCTGCCGCCCGGTCACTTCGCTTCGGCCTTTGAAGGGGGAGGTTGCGTCGCTTACGATCAGAATATACGTTACGCAACAGAACGACGTAAATTTAAAATGGGAAATAACCGTAATAAAAATAAGAAACGACTAACTTGGCGTTGAGAAATAGGCATAAATATGATGACCCTAATGAAATAAGTGTCTAACGACCTTTCTACATACAGTATTAGTGATTACAAACATGTCGGTGCATAGCATACGACGCGCGGGCAAGTGGGGACGAAATTAGAATTTGAGCTGACTTACTATATCCCCTTTAATGCCCATGTCACACCTATGCCGGTAGTTGTTGGGAGCACTATGCTCGAAGTTGTTGACAAGTATGTTTACCTGGGACAAATAGTCAGACTAGGTAAGTTCAACTTCGACCGAGAGCTCAATCGACGGATTCAACTCGGATGGGCAGCGTTCGGGAAATTACGACACATCTTCTCGTCAGATATACCTCACGACTAAACTAACTAACTAACCAGTGCGTGTTGCCAGTGATGACTTATGGATCCTTCACTGCTAGCCGTATGAGGACGCTCAAGGTCGCTCAGCGAGCTATGGAGAGGGCTATGCTCGGAGTTTCTCTGCGTGATAGACTCAGAAATGAGGATATCCGCAGTAAAACCAGAGTGACCGACATAGCCCAACGGATTAGTAAGCTGAAGTGGCAATGGGCCGGCCATGTAGCTAGAAGAACCGATAACCAATGGGGAAGAAAAGTTCTCGAGTGGCAGCCTCATACCGGTAGGCGTAGTGTAGGGCGACCCCCCACTAGATGGAGTGACGACCTGGTAAGACATGCAGGAAGTCGATGGAAGCAGGTGGCTCAGGACCGTGCTTTGTGGCATTACTTGGGGGAGGCCTATGTTCAGCAGTAGACTTGTAGGTAAGGGCTGTAATGATGATGATGATGATGATGATTTTGTTAATACTATATAAAACTCTGGTTTTTAATAAATTAATAGATTTCTTTTTTAAGATTCAGTGGAATAATTGGTTTAAATCCTTAATTTTGACTAAGTATATACTTAGTTAAATCTTAACTTAACTTATCTTAACTTAGTTAAATAAAAAAAGGTTTACATATTTTAAATATCTACAATACAAATTGATACAATAGGTTTTTGTTGCACTAGCTTAAAATTAGCAGACATTCTATTTTTTCCGTGCAAAGATAGTATTTATCCGTTGGATGGAAGCCTGGTAATCCATAATACAGGTTTGTTCCATGTTTGGATCCACTATACAGGTTTTTCTTTAAACAGTGTACAAGTAATTTGTGGGAAATTGATTTTTTTTTATTTAATTTAGTGGATGGTTGCAAAGTAACTATTAATATCTTTAATTTAAATAAAAATTAAGTGGTAACGATCAATGCTAAGTTGGTACATATTCTGTCTTGCGTAATGTTATTGGGTAAATGAGAGTTTATTAATTGGGAAACACAATAAGATTTGTAATTCGCCGAAGGCAGTATAAGCCGATTTTGTGTAACTGCTCGCGTGTGTACAGAATATTGACTTTTTTCATAAGTGTTTCATATAATAATTGTTCTATAAGTAAGCTATTGACGATTAATGATGAAGTAACACAGTAGATTCGATCAATATTCGGCTAAGATAAAATAAGACAATACTATAATATGTCTTATATGACCACTGCACGGCCTGATGATTACTTTTAAACGAGGAAAAAAGTTTTCCTTCAAAAAGGAGAAAGTATTCAATTCGATATCGTGTAATAAGAGAAGATGGTGGTTTGCAAGATGATGTTGTGACCAGGATTAAGAAAGGAATGCTTCGGTGGTTTGGTCATGTGGAAAGAATGAATGAGGAAAGAGTGACAAAGAAAATTTATGTTGCAGAAGTGAATGGCAGAGTCGGAAAGGGACGTCCTAGGCGAAAATTTATCGACCAAATTGGCGATTTATTGAAAACGGGCCAAATTAGGAGTACCCTTAACCGACGAGCATGTATGCGTAGGTGTATGGATGTGAAGGAGGCGAGAGAGGTGTGTCAGGATCGTGCCAAATGGAAGTCTGTAGTCTCTGCCTACCCCTCTGAATGACAGGCGTGAGTGTTTAT